CGCTCAGCTGTGCCACAAACCCCGAGCGGGAGCCGCTCCCGGCTGCTGTCCCCAGGAATTTTGTGACACGGTGTAAATCAAAGCCCTCCGTGACTGAACCCTGGCAGCCGGGAGTACCTGAGGATTCTGAGACCTTCCCAAGCCCTGCAAGGCCATAAATGAGTATTATTAATTATTATCAGTGCTTATCAGATGTGTTATCAGCAATAATGCTGAGCACTGCGAGGCTGTGGCACAGGGTCAGTGACACACGCAGCAGCACCCGGGTCACCCTTTCTGTGCACCTTCAGGGTTTTTCCCCATTTTGTTTTGATTTCTGTACATTTGAAGCCTCCTCCTGGCCCAGGTGTTTTTGTTCAGCCCAAAAATCTCCCGGAGCAGAGGAACTCGGTGAGGCTCAGCCCAAAGCCACCCTCAGGGACCCCAAAGCCACGACAAGGACACGCCTCACTCCTTGTCCCATCAGCAGCATCCCAGCGCTACAGCCCTGCCCAAAATCTGCACACCTGGATCCGCGTGGATCTAAAATCCCCACCATGGACCCACCTGGATTTAAATCCTGCTGCACACCTGGATCCACCTGGATTTAAATCCTGCTGCACACCTGGATCCACCTGGATTTAAATCCTGCCACACACCTGGATCCACGTGGGTTCAAACCCCCCCCCTCACACCTGGATCCACTTGGGTTCAAAACCCCCCACACACCTGGATCCCCCTGGATTTAAAATCCCCACTTTGGATCCCCCTGGGTTCAAAACTCCCCACACCTGGATCCACGTGGGTTCAAACCCCCGCTCACACCTGGATCCCCCCGGATTCCAGCGGCTTCCTCTCCCTGCAGGGTCTCTCCTCCTTTTCCCGGGGCGCTGGGGCTCCCTGGATCGCTCCCAGTGCCACGGAGCAGCGCGGGGAGCGGATGGCGGAGTGGGGGGGATCCCCTGCGGGAGCTGCTCCAGCGGGGACCGGCTCATCATGTGGGACAGGATGGGACCCTCCCGGTGCCCATCTTGTGCCATCCCGGTGCCCCTCCCGTGCCCCATCCCGGTGCCCATCCCGTGCCCCCTCCCGGGCCATCCTGGTCCCCCTCCCGGTGCCCCTCCCGGCCCATCCTGGTGCCCCTCCCGAGCCTTCCCGTGCCCCTCCCGGGCCATCCCGGTGCCCCTCCCGGTCCCTGCTCCCGTGCCAATGGCATCGGCGGCCGCGGCCGAGCCCTCGGCGGGGCGGGGCGGTCCCGGAGCCGCCCCCGGCGGAGCCGCGGGAGCCGCGGGCGGCGGAGCGGGGTAAGGGGCGCGGGGGGCGCGGGGGCGCCGCTGCCAGCGCTGCCCGGGACACCGGGCAGGACAGGGCGGTGTGACCGACAGCCCCGGGCTCGGAGCGCCCGGCTCCGGCAGCCCCGGGCTCGGAGTGCCCCGTTCCGGCAGCCCCGGGCTCGTTGTGCCCCGTTCCGGCAGCCCCGGGCTCGTTGTGCCCGGTTCCGGCAGCCCCGGGCTCGTTGTGCCCCGTTCCGGCAGCCCCGGGCTCGTTGTGCCCCGTTCCGGCAGCCCCGGGCTCGGAGTGCCCCGTTCCGGCAGCCCCGGGCTCGGAGTGCCCGGTTCCGGCAGCCCCGGGCTCGTTGTGCCCCGTTCCGGCAGCCCCGGGCTCGGAGTGCCCCGTTCCGGCAGCCCCGGGCTCGGAGTGCCCGGTTCCGGCAGCCCCGGGCTCGGAGTGCCCCGTTCCGGCAGCCCCGGGCTCGGAGTGCCCCGTTCCGGCAGCCCCGGGCTCGTTGTGCCCGGCTCCGGCAGCCCCGGGCTCGGAGTGCCCGCCGGGGCTGGGGGCTGCGGTGGAGCCGGAGCCCCGCTCGTCCTTGGGATCGCTTTACACCGAGGGATCGGCACCGGCCGGGACCGCGGGGTTTGTCCCCAAAGGCTCGGCGAGCCGCGGTTCTGCTCGGTGCCGGGGGCTCCCGGGGGTTCCCGGTGTTTGTTGGCGTTCCCAGCTCCCGCTGCTGGTGCCTGACCTTGGGCGAGTGCCGCTCTCCGTGTGCCCGGGCTGCTCGTGTGCTGCTCCCCTGCACAGCCCGGGGCTCTGGGGCTTGGAAAAACTGCGGGGACACAAACGCAAAGGGGGGCTCGGGAATGGTGCTGCCCTTGCAGCCAGGGATCGTTTCCTTGCGGTGGCTTTGGGGTGGGTGACAGCGCTGGTGGCGTTTTGCAACGTGGATTGACAGGGCAGTGACACCTGTGCCAGGTACCTGTGGGCACGGAATGTGCCACCTTGCCCCACAGCGCTGCTCTGCCAGCTGGGGCAACCTTGGAGGGATGGGTCAGGAGAACAACCTCAGGAGAACAGCCTGGACCTCCCTGGAGGGATGGGACAGGAGAACAACCTCAGGAGAACAGCCTGGACCTCCCTGGAGGGATGGGACAGGAGAACAACCTCAGGAGAACAGCCTGGACATCCCTGGAGGGATGGGACAGGAGAACCTGGGCATCCCTGCTGGGATGGGACAGGAGAACCTGGGCATTCCTGGAAAGACGGGTCAGGAGAACCTGGGCATCTCTGGAGGGATGGGACAGGAAAAGAACCTAGAGATGGGTCAGGAGAAGTGTCCCCAATGGGACAGAAAACCCAGGAGCAGAGCGCTCCAAGAACCTGCCCAGGGCTGCCCTGCTCAGACCTCCCCAGTCCTGACCCAGCAGCTCAACCTCTGCACCTTCCTGCCCTCTGGCCATGCTTCATTCCCACAGGGTTGTGCTCCCTGAGGTGAATTCAGCTGTCCTGGGGGCACGCTGGAGGGATGGAGATCCCCAAACTGCTCTGCAGGAGCTGCTTGGAAAATCAGCTTTTGGGATACTCTGGGAGAGGTAAACAGGAGCCTTTGGTAGCCAGAGTGGGGAGGCTTTCCCTGCAAAAAGAGGAGATGGAGAAGAAAAGACAAAAGATCCTAACACTGGAGGGGAGCTGCCTGGAAGAGGTTGTTCAGAGCACAGATATGGGCTGTGATGAAAATGTGAAGCCTGGAGGCTGAGACTGGCCTGAACACCTCCTTAGCTCCGTGTGACAGTGACAGTCCCTGCTCACTGTGACTTGGTGCAGAGCTGTGCTGGACACACTGGGAGTGCCCCACCTTCTTGTTCCTGGCAGGTTTGGCACCACGTGGGGGTATTTCCTAGGGAAAAGAGCATTTCTATGGCACCCAGAGGGCTCCAGAATTCCCTGTGGCAGCTCTCAGGACCCTGAGGAGCGCTGATAACAAGGACTGGCCTGACTGGTTTGCAGCTCCACAGAAACCTCATGGAAAAAGTTCTTGAGGGATTTGGACAAAGGTTTTCTTTCCCCTGGAAACTCCAAATCTGCATTAAATATGAACAGATCCCTGTGCCCTGGGTGCTCCAGAGCGGGACAGGGACAGTGTGTGGATGCTCTGGGGGTCCTTGGGTACCTCCCTCCAGCCCCTGAGCCCCAGCGGGGCCTGGGGGCTCTGTGACAGTCACCAGGGACCTCCTGAGTGCACACAGCTCCCACCTGGACATGCTGAGCTCTGTCTCAGATGTTTGCAAACGTGGGGGTTGTGTCCTCAGGGGCCCTGGGGAGGAAAGGGGAAAGGAAAAGGAAAAAATTGTGAGTGCAGCAGCCACGCCAAGGGCACCACCAGGAGGAGTCTGGGAACCCCTCCAGAGTGGCTTTAACAAGCAATTCTGGCTCTGTTCGGAGCGAGAATCAAAGAATTCCCTTTGTTTAGGCCCTGCTTTGCTGCAGCCAGGCTGAGGCGCTCTCTGAGCCGTGCCCGGGGCTGGCAGAGCTGCCTGGGCAGAGCTGGGGCACGCCCGGGCACCGCGGTGCCCGCGGGCACGGCTGAGCATCCCCAGCGCTCGGAGCTGCCTCGGGGTTCCCTGCGCAGGTGGGCAGCTCCGGCCCAGCCCCGTCCGTGTCAGGGCGTGCTCCTACCCACACCTGCAGCCTGGAGAAGCCTCAGCAGCCTCTCAATTAACAGCTCACAATTAACTCCTGGCTAATCAGGAGCCAGGCCCGGCGCAGAGCTGCCCTCTGGCGTGGGTGGCACAGGGAGGGGTGAAGGGTTTCTTTGTGTGTTTGCACCTCCAGAAACTCCCCAGAGAAGTTTGCTCCTGGGGGGACTCTGCCTCTTTGCTGGAGGAACTCGGTCAGACTCTTCAAAAACAAAGGCCCTGCCAGGTTCTGCTGTTTTCTTTTCGGTGCACGGCCCGGCTTTGTTGAAAGGTTGAGGTTTGTGTGTTTGTTTTCTCCTTTGGAAATGTTAGGAAAATGAATCCACAAACACCAGAGGTTTATGTCCAAAAAGGAGACAGAGGAGTCCTTTTTTGGCTTTATTAGAATAAAGGGAGAGGCCATGGGGCATTGCCCTGGGGTCTCTTGAATTTTTGGAGGACACAGCCTCCTTTTATCCCAATTTCCCAGCCACATTTCCCTTCTCTCTTTCCCCATTTCTGAGGTACTTGAGAGGTACAGACTTCCCAAAACACCTGATACCAGAGACTTCCCTCTAATGTACAACCCTCCCTTTTAATTTTTAATTCTTTATGGAATTTAGGGGTTTTTCCCCATTGGCTGAGGGGGTTCAGACCTCTCATTACCTGAGAGGTTCAGACTTCCCAAAACACCTGGTACCAAAGGCTTCCCTCTAATGTACAACCCCCCCTTTTCATTTTTAATTCTTACAGAATTTAGGGGTTTTTCCCTCCCCATTGCTTCTTTCATCTCTCAATGTCTAATTTAGTTTATCAGCAAACCTAAAGTTTATTTGTAAAATCAAATATGTTTTTCCATTCACCAATCAGTGGAATCCTTCCCATAGTTTCTTTTATCTCTCAGCGCTGGTTTTTATCCACCAGCAGCCCCACAGCTCGTTTGGAAGGACAAACCTGCTGTTCCTCTCAGAAATAACCTCGGTGCTGTTCCTTTGCAGATGAACCAAGACTTGCCCAGCTGAGCTCTCCCAGCAGCTCCTGAGCCAAGAGCTGCGTGTGGGGAGGCACCAAATGGTCTCTGTGAGCTGCCAGGACCTGCTGCCCTCCCTGCCCAGCCCTTCCCTGCTCGAGGGCCTGGCCAGCGCCCTGCAGTGCAGGATGCCACCGTCCCTTCTGCCAGGACACGGCGGTGACAGGACACGGGGACACCCAGAGGGGCCCCCCAAAGCCCAGCTCAGCGAGGCTCAGCTCAGGCTGCCGGACTTCAGCCCCTCGCAGGACTTCATCCCCACGCTGGAGGAGATCGAGGAGTTCCTCAGGGAGAAGGCAGAGCTCCCCAGGGGTGAGGCAGGAGAGCCTCACCCAGCAGGGTGGAACGGGGAGAGCAAAGCTGAGCTCGGCTCCGGGACACAGCCCATCCCCAGAGCACAGGAGGGAGGAGCAGGACATGTCCCAAACGCTGTGGGGACAGCTGGTGACCCTGTGGTGGCTGCTGGTGACCCTGTGGTGGCTCCTGGTGACCAGGCACTGGCTCCTGGTGACCCTGTGGTGGCCTCTGATGACCATGTGGTGGCTCCTGGTGACCAGGCACTGGCTCCTGGTGACTATGTGGTGGTTACTGGTGACCAGGCGGTGGCTGCTGGTGACTATGTGGTGGTTACTGGTGACCCTGTGATAGTTCCTGGTGACCCTGTGCTGGCTGCTGGTGACCAGGTGGTTACTGGTGACCCTGTGGTGGCCACTGGCGACCAGGCACTGGCTCCTGGTGACCCTGTGGTGGCCTCTGATGACCATGTGGTAGCTCCTGGTGACCAGGTGGTGGCTGCTGGTGACCATTTGGTAGCTACTGGTGACCATGTGGTGGCCACTGGTGACCATTGGGTAGCTCCTGGTGACCCTGTGGTGGCCCCTGATGACCCTGTGGTGGTTACTGGTGACCCTGTGGTGGCCACTGGTGACCCTGTGGTGGCCACTGGTGACCAGGCTCTGGCTGCTGGTGACCAGGCTCTGGCTGCCGGCAGCATCCCCGTTGTCCTGCAGCTCCATCCTCTCCCCATGGACAGCATCGCCCCCCCAGCACACCCTGGGGGTGTCAGTGTGGCCCAGCTGCTGATCAGCCTGCAGAGCCCAAACCTGCCCGTCCTCCCTCAGCTGCAGCCCCCGGGCTCCATCCCGGAGCAGAAACACGTCAGGATCGCCCCTCTGCCGGCGGGGCCAGGGGACGTGCGGGGGGCAGAGGCTGCCCCCGGGGGCCAGCAGGGTCCCCGTGCCCCGCTCCGCCCGCACCGCTGCTCCCACCCCGGCTGCGGGAAGGTTTATTCCAAGAGCTCGCACCTGAGGGCTCATTTCCGCCGGCACACGGGCGAGAAACCCTACACGTGTGCCTGGCCCGACTGCGGCTGGAGGTGAGCGAGGGGCTCCGGGGGGTTCTGGTGCCTCCGGGTGCCACCGAGGGAACCCTGAACAGCAGGGAGGGGGCACTCCCCCGTGCCCCGGGGGTACAGAGGGCAGCCTAAAACGGTATTTACCAGGAAATTGAAATATTTAAAATTTTAAAAATTAAATCGATCAAATAAATTAATACATATATAAATAGATAGAAATTATATATAATATGTATATAAATATATAAATATATAATATATTAAAATTAAATAAAAAGATAAATATCTGAATATATATAAATTATAAATATCTAAAAATAAATCATGTATATAAATTATATATATTATATATATGTATATAAATTATATATATTATATATATAAATATATAATATATCAAAATAAATGACTATAAATAAATATATGAAATTATATCAAGATTATAAATATCCAAAAATAAATGATGTATCTAAATATATAAATATATACTATATCAAAATAAATGACTATAAATAAATATATGAACTTATATCAAGATTATAAATATCCAAAAATAAAATATGTATATAAATATATAAATATATACTATATCAAAATAAATGACTATAAATAAATATATGAAATTACATCAAGATTCTAAATATATAAAAATAAATTATGCATATAATATATAAAGATAAGTAATTAAAAATAAATATATGAAAAATATATGAATTATTAATGTATAAAAATAAATTACAAATAAATTTATATAAAAATAAACAAAGAAAATATATATGAATATATATAAATTATGAGTATGTAAAAAGAAAATATATATAGATATATAATAAAAAATAGAAATAAATAAAATACATAACAATATATAAGTACATGTAAATTATCAATATATAAAAATAAATTACATAGAAATATAAAATATGAATATAAAATATATAATAAATAAAATAAAGAAATAAAAATAAACATAAATAAAGAAATGAAAAACTAAAAAAATAAAAATATTAATACAGAACTACAAATTAATACAGCACCCCTTTCCAACATAACACATCCAATATTCCTTTGCATATTTGCAGAGAGCCAGTGATAGAATCCGCACTCTTCCCCCTCCTGCAGGTTCTCCCGCTCGGATGAGCTCTCCCGCCACCAGCGCTCCCACTCGGGGCTCAAGCCCTACCAGTGCTCGGCCTGCCACAAGAAGTTTGCCCGCAGTGACCACCTGGGCAAGCACCTGAGGATCCACCGGGGCCAGCCCTGCAGGGCCAGCACGTCCTGACTGCCAGGCACCGCTTGTGTCCCATTGTCACCTGTCACAGGTGGGCAGGGATCTGCTGCTCACTGGGCAGGCCTCTTTAGCTCTTCCACAACCAATCCTCTGCTGTTAATGAGCCATTAATTATTAATTATCTTCTGTCCATGGCCTGTGAGTGTCCCTGCATGGCTGATCCAATCCCATCATCCCATGGGGAGAAGCTCCGCCCAGGGGAGGAGCCAAGCATTCCTACCTGGGTACAATCTGAGCTTTGGGACAGCCCAGCAGCCTTTGCCCAGGGCATTGCCAGAGGAGCAGCTTCTGCTGCCCTGCATTGCCAGAGGGAGCCCAGGCCCATCTGCAGCAGCCCTGGAGCTGCAGAGGAAAACTCCCCCCTTGTGCAGGATCCCTGCTCCAGCAGAGCCACAGCTGGCACTGCAGGAGGGCTGAGCCCCCATGGGATGGGGCTGTGCCACCCCCTGACACACAGGGGACAGGGCCTGCTCTGACTCTGACAGAGTTCTTTTGTTTTACTGCATTGTTTATTTTATTTTTATTTTCTTCTCTAATAAAGAACTGTTATTCCTGCTCCCACATCTTTGCCTGAGCCCCCCTTCATTTCAAATTTATAACAATTCAGAGGAAGGAGGTTTACATTTCCTATTTTAGGGAGGCTCCTGCCTTCCTTAGCACACACCTGGCTGTTCAAAGCAAGACACAGCAGGAGTTAATTCCTGCTGCTCCTCTCTGCCAGCCCAGGGTGGGCAAAGAGAGCAGAACCTGCTGCTGAGGAGGGGGAAAGGACTCCTGAGCAGACAGGAGACTTTGTTGTGCCTCCTTTCAAGGGTGATGAGGTTCCCAAGTTGTTTCTGGCCCTGCTCTTTGAAATACCCATGATGGGAATCAGTGTGGATTTGGGCTGTGTGTAGGAATGTTGGGGTCACAATGTGAACCAGGAATTGGGTGTTTCAAAATCCCAGAATCCCAGAATGGTTTGGGTTGGGAGGGATCCTAGAGCTCATCCCATGGGCAGGGACACCTCTCACTATCCCAGGATGCTCCTTGGACACTTCCAGGGATCCAGGGGCAGCCAGGGATTCTCTGGGGATTCCATCCCAGCCCCTCATCATCCTCACAGCCAGGAATCCCTTCCCAAATCCCATCTCTCCTTGCTCTGGCAGTGGGAACCATCCCTGCGTGCTGTTCCTCCATCCCTGATGGAATGGGGATGAATGGGTGCCACAGACACATTTTATGGAAAATCCTTTCCTTAGGATCTTTCCTCCTGAGAAGCTGAGAGGCCTCAGGAACAAAATGTAAACAAGAATTATCTGCTGCTGTGGAATGCAACAGGTGCATCTGGGATTGGACTCATGGGGTTGTTTCCAATTAATGGCCAATCACAGCCCAGCTGTCTCAGACTCTCTGGTCAGTCACAAGATTTTATTATCATTCCTTTCCTTTCAAGCCTTCTGATGAAATCCTTTCTTCCATTATTTTAGTATAGTTTTAATATATAATTTACTTTTAATTATAAGTAATTCAGCCTTCTGAAACATGGAATCAAGATTCTCATCTCTTCCCTCGTCCTGGGACCCCTGTGAACACCACCACAGAAGGGGGTCTGAGCTGTGGGGGCTGCAGCAGATATCGACACTTTCCAGCCTGGTTGTTTTGTCCCTAAATCTGCTTTTTTTTGTGCTGGCGGTTTCCCACTTGGCTGGCCCTGACCACCATGGGTGCTTGACAAGGTGAGAGGGGCAGCAGATGGATTTTGTGGAGCCTCAAAGCCACCAGGAGAACAGCAAGCAGCACCAGCCAAGCCCTCGCCACCCCGAAGGACATTTCCAAGGGGACACACGGACGGGTGAGGAGCTGGGAGCTCCTGCCAGGGGAGCAGGGCAGCTCCAGGCTGCTGACGTCCTCCTCCTGTTTGCCTTGGGGTTAATTAAAGTCCAGCTCCGGCTGCGGTGCCAACTCCCCGAGCTTCTGCAAACATCTGGGAGGGAAGGAGGCGCTTGCACAAACACAGCTCAGCGTCAGGAGCTGCGGCAGGGCCCGGTGCCCTTTCCACGTGGCTGTGCCAGCCCGGCTCAGGCTGGTTTCTCGTGCCTGCAGGCTCTGGGCCGGGCTGGGCTCGTGCCCTCCTGCTGATGCCCCGATGCCCTGGCAGGGCACAGCTCCACGTGCTGCCCTTGAGCTGCTCTGGGGAGGGGAGTTGGGTTGTGCCCAAAGCGCGGCGGGGAAATCAGCTCAGCTCTTCTCCATGCCCTGTGGAGGGCAGGGTGGGACAGCAGAGGCTGCACAGGTTGGGAGAGCAGAGGTTGGAGAGGTGTGCCCAGCTGTGCCAGCTGTGCCAGCTGTGCCAGGTGCCAGGAGGAGCACAGCCCAGCTGGGGGTGATGCTGCAGGACCAGCAGCCACTTCTGCCTGAGCCTGTTTGGGGCTGCCTGTTGTTCCAGAGGCTTTGCCTGCCTCAGGTTGCTCCGTGCCCCTTCTGCCATGAGGCTCTGTGCCCGGCCTGTGTGCCCAGCCTGGCTCAGTTCTCTGTGTGCCCCCTTTGTTGTGGGGCTCTGTGCCCAGCCTGGCTCAGCCCAGGTGCCCAGCCTGGCTCAGCTCCCTGTGCCCCCTTTGCCATGGGGCTCTGTGCCCAGCCTGTGTGCCCAGCCTGGCTCAGTTCTCTGTGCCCCCTTTGCTGTGGGGTTCTGTGCCCAGGCCCTGTGCCAGCCTGGCTCAGCCCAGGTGCCCAGCCTGGCTCAGTTCTCTCTGTGCCCCCTTTGCCATGGGGCTGTGCCCAGCCTGGCTCAGCTCTCCATGCCCCCTTTGCTGTGGGGCTCTGTGCCCAGCCTGGCTCAGTTCTCTCCATGCCCCCTTTGCCATGGGGCTCCGTGCCCAGCCTGGCTCAGTTCTCTGTGCCCCCTTTGCCGTGGGGCTCCGTGCCCAGCCTGGCTCAGTTCTCTGTGCCCCCTTTGCCGTGGGGCTCCGTGCCCAGCCTGGCTCAGTTCTCTGTGCCCCCTTTGCCGTGGGGCTCCGTGCCCAGCCTGGCTCAGTTTGCTCCATGCCCAGGCCCCGTGCCAGCCTGACTCACGCCCGTCTCGTGCTTTTATCTGCCCCCTTTGCTGCTCTGCCTGGCTCCAGACGCTCTCCCAGCTCCTCCCGGACCTGCCCCGTCCTGCCTCGCTCCGCTCCCCGCCGCAGGCACTGCGGGGCTGGCAGAGCTCCCAGCTTCGGGGGTGAGAAGGTTTGGGGTTCATCCTCAATCCAAGGCCCTTCTCTGTTGTATTTGCAGGGATCCCCGTGGCAGGCAGGAAGGGGGAATGAGAAGAGTGGGAATGGCAGGAGGGGAATGGGAGGGAGTGGGAATGGAATGGCAGGAGTAGGAATGGGAAGAGTGGGAATAGCAGGAGGAGAATGGCAGGAGTGGGCATGGGAAGGAGTGGGGATGGAAGGACCAGGAATGGGAGGGAGTTGGAATGGCAGGACTGGAATGGCAGGGGCGGGATGGCAGGATCAGGAATGGGAAGAGTGGGAATAGGAGGAGAGGAATGGCAGGAGGGGAATGGGAAGGAGTGGGAATGGGAAGGAGTAGGAATGGGAAAGAGGGGGAATGGAATGGCAGGAGTGGGAATGGGAGAACTGGGAATAGCAGGAGGGGAATAGGAAGGAGTGGGAATGGCAGGAGCAGGAATAGCAGGAGTAGGAGCAGGATGGCAGAATTTGGGATGGCAGGACTGGGATGGCAGGAAGGGAACAGCAGGAGCAGGAATGGCAGAAAGGGATGGCAGGAGTTGGGATGGCAGGAGGGGATGGCAGGAGTGGGAATGGCAGGAAGGGAATGGCAAGATCTGGGATGGCAGGAAGGGAATGGCAAGATCTGGGATGGCAGGAGTGGGAATGGCAGGAGGGGGTGGCAGGAGTTGAGATGGCAAGACTGGGATGGCAGCATTTGGGATGGCAGGAGCAGGATGGCAGGAGTGGGATGGCAGGATTTGGGATGGCAGGGGGGGATGGCAGGAGCAGGATGGCAGGAGCAGGAATGGCAGGAGCAGGAATGGCAGGAGTTGGGATGGCAGGATTTGGGATGGCAGGGGTGATGGCAGGAGCAGGAATGGCAGGAGTTGGGATGGCAGGATTTGGGATGGCAGGAGGGGATGGCAGGAGCAGGAATGGCAGGAGTTGGGGTGGCAGGGGGTGATGGCAGGATTTGCAGTGGCCAGATTTGCGGTGGCAGGAGCAGGATGGCAGGAGGGGATGGCAGGAGTTGGGATGGCAGGGGTGATGGCAGGGGGTGATGGCAGAATTTGGGATGGCAGGATTTGGGATGGCAGGGGTGATGGCAGGATTTGGGATGGCAGGATTTGGGATGGCAGGGGTGATGGCAGGATTTGGGATGGCAGGGGTGATGGCAGGATTTGGGATGGCAGGATTTGGGGTGGCTGGATTTGGGGTGGCCGGATTTGCGGTGGCAGGAGCGGCTGCCCGGCGCTGCAGCCAGGGCTGCCAGGTTGCTAAGCAGAGCTTTTGAAGAACTGCAGGCAGGCAGCCGGAGCTGGAGCGGGGCAGGACGTGGGAGAGCACAAAGAGGAGCTCAGGCGCTGTTGCTAAATTTGCAGCTGGGGCTGTGGGGAAAGCAGGAGCAGCAGAGCCCTCCCTGCCTCCCTCCCTCCCTCCCTGCAGCACGAGTGACAGCAGTGACATCCCTGGGCTGCCCACGTGGAGCTCGTGCTGGCTGCTCATCCTGCAGCATGAGCCAAGGGCCACTGCAAATCCTGCTTTAAACCCCTTGGAAATACAGCCCTAAGGTGGATCACAGCATTAGGGGTCTTTATGTCTTTTTTTTTTTTTCCCTAATAAAGTCAGAACTGGATTTTCATTAATGATTAAACCTCCCTTCCAGGTTTCGTTTTTACTGGGGGGAAATGCAGTTCTTGGATGAGTTTCTGCTGCTCACAGTGGTTCAGCAGCAGAATTTCGCTTGAGAGGCGGGGAGAAAATAGGAGTTTTGGAAAATTTGAGTTTTCCTAG